GAAGTAATGATAACAATGATAACAAACTGTACCCATTGGTTATAATATACTACAGTAAAGAAAAGGGAGTGATAATTACTTCATTGATTTCTATTTTAGAATGCACAAATAATACAGGAGAAGGTATTTTTAATTGTATAAATGAAAACTTTAAAAACAAAGGTTTAGAATGGAAAAATTGCTTATCATTTTCTTCAGATAATGCTATTAATATGATTGGAAAGTTTAAAGGTGTAGCATCATTTATCAAAATGCATCAACCAAGTATAATCACCCGAGGTTGTCCGTGCCACCTCTTGCATATAGCTGCAAAAAAAGCTACTGAAAAATTAATTGGCTCAGAAAATTGAAATGTTGATAATAGATATAGATATATATTTTACTTGGAGAAAAGTTCGAAACGGAAAGCATAGCTTCAAAGTTGCTCAACAAATTTTGGGACAGAATGCAAAATCTCATAAAATTTTGAAATATTGCAGTACGAGATGGTTGTCTCTTTTAGAATCTATAACAAGGATTTTGGAACAGTGGGATGCTGTGATAAATTTTTTGGAGATAAACCAGATAACAGTAAGAATGAAGGAAAGAGATTGCAAAACATTAAAAAAATTTTACAGTCACCGACCACCAAATTGTACTTGTTATTTTTGAAAAATACTTTGCCTTTGTTTATAACAGTAAATATTAATTTGCAACAACAAGCTCCTTATATACATAAATTGAGAAGAGAACTTTTTGAACTTTTAATGAATTTATTTGTTAGATTCATAAAACCATCAGTAATTTCTAAGAAAATGAAGATGTTACTCTAACGTATATTCCATTTCAGAAGTATAGTAAACAAAAAGAAAATGAAAATTTAGTGATTGGTGCGGAAACAAGACTATTTTAAAAATGCCAAGTTGAATGAAAGTGAAGTGAAGTCATTTTTCAATTCTGTGCGAGCTTTTTTTGTAACTGCATGTTCATATATAATTGATAAATTTCCACTGAGTGATCCATTTCTAAAACATGCTGAAGTTGCTGACATCAACTTGAGAACTGAAGTCTCATTTTCATCTGTTCTTTACTTGATGAATACTTTTCCATCCATTATTGATGAAAAATGTCTTAATCAAGTAGAAATCAAATTTTCCATGTATCAAGTAGATGATTTGAAAGAAATTGTAGATTTGCGTATTGATATAGCATGGGGAGAAATTGCCAAATTAAAAAATATGAATGGGTGTATTAAATACAAAGTATTGCCTTCTGTAATGCTTGCTGTCTTAATAATACCTCATTCAAATGCAGCTTGCGAAAGAATTTTTTTCTATTGTTAAAAAAAATCAGACGGAATTTCGACCAAATTTAGTCTTAAAAACTCTTGAAGCAGTTTTGATTGAAAAAATAAATATGCAGGCAAATGAAGAACTGTGTTATAAAAAACATTCTCAAAATCAGAACTTAAGCTTGCTAAGCATGCTACATATAAATCTTTGCATTCATAATTATGCGTATTTTGTTTAATACTTATATGTATCATTCTTGGTTATTTAAATTTTATTTCCCTGTAGAAATCATATCCAGAATAAAGATACGATTTATAGCTTCTGATTTTTTCTATGATTAGTAGTGATTTGAAGTACTTTTTATTAGTGAATGCTTGAGGAGTTAAAAGAAAATTTCTAATTAAATGTGCATATAATTTACAAGGTATATTTTTAATTATTCAGTTTTATATGTATATGGATTTTAAATGTAATAAAATTGATTACAATTAATTATTAATTTTAAATTAATGAATGGTTAATTACAACATACGCTACGTGCACATTTTCAAAGTTGTAAAAATGTCATTCGCGTGTTGACTACTGACAAGGTTTGCTGAAGGTTGGAGTCTATGCAGCAGTGTGCGGCGCTGGCAAATTTCCTATCGGATGTGCTCTTCATGGACGAGGCAACTTTCTCACAGGACAGCATCTTTAATAGCCACAACATGCCTGTGTGGGTGGGTATTGTTAACAACTACCTCATAGGCCCATACCTCTTACCGGCACGTACAAATGGCTTATGTTATCATATTTTTTCTGCAAGAGGTGCTACTAGAATTGCTGCAGTATGTTCCGTCTGTTCGTGATCGCATGTGGTTCCAGCATGATGGTGCACCAGCCCATAACCACCTCATGTGGGTCCACAATTACTTGGATGGGACATTTCCGGGCCGATGGATTGGCTTTGTTGGACATGTTCGATGGCCACCCCGTTTGCCAGATTTATCCAGCTTGGATTTTTTTTATGGGGCCATCTGAAGAGCATCATTTATGAGACTCACGTTGACTCACTGGAGGACCTCGTTGCATGACTATCCTTTGCGGCTGCAAGTGTGCTTGAAATGCCTGTCGTTTTTCAAAATGTTCGTCAATCCCTTCTGCGGCATTACCAAGCATGTATTACTGCTGGTGGTTGCAATTTTGTACATTTATTGTGAATACTGTATTGCTACAAAGAAGCACTTTGCATTGATTTTATACATACACACATTTTCCTCTCATGGCGTTTTTTTGCATTCCTGCCTTAACATGTCACTTTAGACCGTACATTCCTATAAAAAAATGCATGTTTTAGTGCCCTCCACCACCCCTCCAAGTTTGTCCCATGATTTATGAAACACCCTGTATATATATATCTACTCTGTTAACCGACTCAGTGATCTCAGTTTCTTTACTCTTATATGTTTGTAAGTTGTGTGTTTTTTGCTTTAAAAATGATTCAATTATGTTGTTCTTATCTTCCAGTTAAAGTTTTTATGCCTTTAGTAAATCTTCATGCAATATTTGTGGAGTTATCAACAATTTAAAAGTTGTTTAAGTGCGGCTAAGCCTAATGAATTTTGCGATGGCGGACAAGTTAGTTTACATTTTAAACTTTACAAAATAGTGGATTTGTTGCCAATCTAAAGAAAGTAAGCTTCGCAACAACAAAGATAACGCCTTCTTTTATTATTGCGAATTGAATCATGTTTAATTTATTCGAGGAAATAAGTGTTTAATATTTACTTCATAATTTCTAACATAGATTTTTTTGAGTTTTTATGTATTTTTGCCTTGTCATGAAGTGAGAACTGAATTAATTTAATGAGAAATACTAAATTGTCTGCGAAAAACTGTTTCCTTTTTGTTTTGTTTGCTTAACTTCTTTTATACATCATTCTAGATTTATTATAGTATTTGAATAGAACATGTGGCAACGATTAGATAATTCTTCAAGTGATATAGATTTTGTGCATTCTGAGTTATAATATGAGCAAAATATAACTCTGTTAAGTGAACCTAGCGCCAGAGTGTCGCTATGGTAAAAAAATGTAGTGAATTTTAAAGAGTGCATTTATTCTATTGTGGTTTATGCGCTATCGACAAAGTAGATTTAATTCAAACCAATACATTGAAATGAAATGCAAGAAAAAATGCATATAATTTAATATTCCGTGCAAGGAAGTCATGTGGTGTACACATCAGATTTTTTCATATCTCTTATTCTTAATTATTAGCTACGCTCGGGAAATTACACTTGCTCAATAAAATCATTATATATTTTTTGCCTTTTGTTATTAACTATTTAAGGCTGCTGGTCATGCAACTAGCTAGTAATAAAATATATTTCAGAGTCAAATTTTAATAATTTCATTTCAGAGAAAAAAAAATTTCAGTATTTGTGTTATGATTGGTATTGATATTTTTCTTGTTTTTCATAAATTCATTAGTAGTGTAGGCAAATGTTCTCCAATATAGGCAAGGTTTTAATTAATTTAATATGATGTATAAAACAGTTTGATTTTGCAAGATATGTGATCTTCATCCAATGAGATAACTGAGATCTTATCCAGGTTATTAGAATCAAAGTACTCTAAAATGTACTTTTTGTGCCATCAAATTCATTTGTTTAGTCTTTTTGACAGTAAATCTCTTTCAGTTACATAACTTTATGTTATATAATTGTATTGACTTTTGTCAATGCGATAATATAATATTTTTTCTTATGAGAGCATTCGACACCAAGTCATTGCAGCAATAACATCTGTAACAAAAACCTTCAAAGTATTGCCTAAAAATATGTTGCTTTTCCCAGACAAAAACCTTCAAAATAATGTTGCTTTCCCATCTTAATTTCATATCTAAATCCAAGTAAAAATTCCCTTTGAATTAAGCTTCCACCCCTTTTTCTTCTTCTTGCTCTTGTGTGCAAATACCTCACATTGTTTCCCTATACTGCAAATACCTCACATACAGTATTAATATAACAGTATTAACTCGCAGCTACAGAACAAATTACCATCTGACTTTTAAAGCTATATACAGTATAAAGTCCATAATCCGGATGTCCATTATCCGGAATGATCTGCAATCCGGACCTCAAAGCCACAAACTTTACATATGCACGTAGAGAATGCGCATACATTATGCATTTATTTCTGTCTCCAATGAGCCATACATTATGCATGCGCGTAAGGAATGTGCATACAATATGCATGTGCGTAATGTATGGTTGACGCATGCACACATTGAAAGAAATGTTTAATAAAGTAAACAAATAAGCTCTTTCCCCCCCCCTCCTGTGTGTGTAAAATTTGATACCCGTTAGATCATAATTGCTCTTTATTTCATAAATTACAGTTTCATATTTTTTAATTGTATAATTTCTGCATGCCATCTTACCGGATTTAAATTGATGATCTATAATCCAGGAAAACCCATAATTCGGAATCGCCAAAGTCCCGACGAGTCCAGATTACGGACTTTGTACTGTACTTAAATTTTACTTACATTATGGCAATATCTGTTGATAATTTTTTTGATTGATTGATTACTTAGGAAAGTACAGTTGCAAATTTTATTGTGTTTAAAGTAGGAGAGCAGTTCTGAATTTTTTGTTAAAATATATTTTTTAAATTATAATTATTAGATGTGTATATTTTCTTTTGCATTTACTGCTTCTTTACTATATTTTATTTTAAAATTTAGATAAAGATCCATTTGATCCTTTTGGCCTTTCAAAAACAAATGCCAACTCTGCTGTTGTGGTACGTATATGCTGTGCAATTTAATTTTTAATAATTTATTGTACTAAGACATAGCTTTTTTATCTTTGAATTTATTATTTATTTCTGTCTCCAATGAGCTTACAGTACTTATTTAATTGTATAAAGCATTCATATGGCAGAATATTTTTTTCTGTGTTGCTCATTTTATATTTCAGATTTTATAAAGTTTTTTCATTTTAATTCATTTGATTTAACCATTTGTTTTCTTTTTCACTTTCATGTTTGTAAACTACGTAAATTAAAAATAGTGTGTAATTTTTTGTATATTTTGCCTATTCTTAATTCATTGAATGTATTTACAGGGTTTTTGATGCTGACCCATTTGGTGCTGATCCTTTTGGACCTGTAGCACCACCTAGGCCAGAGAGCCCAACACCTGCATTACCACCTAAAAAGAGTAAGCACCTCCTCCTAGACCCGCCCCTCCTAAAGTTGGAACAGCCCCTTCAAAACCAGGACCAACACGGGCAGCACCTGCCCCACCCATACCTGCTGCAGTTGACCCTTTCAAGCCAGCAGATTTAGAGAATTCCAGCAATAATGCAGCCTTCCCATATTATTTTTCCAAACCAGCTAAGACTCAAGATGCATTGACCCTTTCTCTAATGCAACCACAGCATCAGACAACTTTGCTAACTTTGATAATTTCGCTGATTTTGACAACGTCAAGTGAAAGTGTTTGCTGCTATCTTAGTCATATAAACTATGTATATTTTTTAATTTTAGGGTCAACACTTCAGAAAATAAGACTGTATGTCATATAGTTGTAAGTAACTAGAGGCTAAGATTCATGCAAAATCTTTAAACTAGTTGGAATAAACTTTTGCTTTTTCTTCATACATTTCTTCTTTCATATAAAAGAATGTGAAAAGTTTTCATTAATTTTTTCTTTTTAAGTTAAAAATGAAATTGCTTGTAATATGCATACAAATTTTATGTATATATGTATTATGATATTAATCATTTAAGGTGCTGTCAATAAGCAGTGGTGCCTTTGCATATTTAAAGCTAAATTTCATATCTCATGAAATTTAAATATGAATATATAAAAATGAATGAAACATTATTATGTAATATGAATGAAATATGAATTTTAAAAAACATTTTTTATTATTATTTCATCATAAAACTTAAAAGTGCATATTTAGAAAGATATATATATGACAACATATTTGCACAGTAAGTATTTGAGCACAAAAGAGTGAAATTATTTGTGTAATTCCAACATTGTTCTTGAAGATAGTCAAAACTCTAAAATCATCAGTAGTATTAGTTGTAAGGTTAAAGAAATTATGTGAGTATTATTTAGGACTACAGAAGTTTTAAAATTTTGTTCTTAATCTCGAAACTTCTGCTAAATTTAATTTTCAGTCAATGTAGCGGCTAAATAACATCCCTTTTGTGTTTAACAAGAAAAGTATTTTTAGTACAAGTATTTAAAATTGATGTACAAAAACATTGGGAGTTGATCTTCTTCTAATTTATAAATAAAAAATTTGTTTAATGTCTTTACTTCTAAAAAATGCATTATTTTTTTATGAACATCCCATAATCTGCCTCTTTTAGCTTTTTTATTTATAAACGCAAAACATGCATAGTCTTCAGCCTATGTAATAGTATTTTGCGAACTACTATCCCCCCCCCCCCCCCCCGTTTTATTTTACTTTGTATGTATAAATTACTTTATTTATCTTCATGGGCTTTCACTTTTAACATCCAATGTAATGTATTTTAATTATTTTTTAGTTATGAAAATGCATTGACAAATGAGGGGGGGGAGAATGACTGTTTTGACATTTTGAGAAACTTCTAGTTTTTAATGATACTCTGTTCTTTTGGTTCTTATGAAATAAATGGGAAGGGCTGCATTGAGCTCTTTCGATACTTATTTATGGAAGAAAACTAGTTTCAAGACAAAATTTCTGCATTCAGAATTGTAAAAAAAAAATTGCTTAACATATTCGCTGTTGATCACGCCCTGGCACATGATTACTGTTATTGCTGAAAAGCCAATCGCGCTGTGGTGCATAGTGTAGGGTCTCAGGTACCAGTCACAGGCTGGCACAAGAAAAGCAATGTTTCATTGTTTATTTTCAAGTTCAATCAACATTGTATTTTGAAATGTATGCTGGTATTGCCGTGGTGTGAAGGTTAGAAACTAGTTCTAAATGCATGTGGTTTGGAATGAAGACAAAGTTTCATTTCATGCAAAGATCATACACAAATAACATTCTGAAATATATATTTTGCAATAATATTATAACTATCTTATAATAATAAATTAATTTATAATGTATATATTTAATAGCCAGTATAGTTTCATACAAAGAGAATGTATATTGTTATTTTATTTTGATTCATTTTTAAATGCAACACCCCAGTGCGTAATGCGGCATTGCAGCTAGAGATCAGGTACTGATGATAGTCATAAAATTCATAATATCTATTCTTAAAGCAATCAATGTGGTACAATAATGATCTTTTATTACCTGTTTTTAAATCATGTTTCTTATAATACAGTCGACAGACATATGGGTAAATCTATTTCTGTGACACAGAATTACTATCAACATGACTTTACATGACCAGCAGCGAATATGTTAAGTGTATAATTTTGTTATATTAAAGTGTTTGATTAAGAAAACTTTGTGTGCTTAGTGCAGCATTCTTTCAAAGCCCCCAGTACATGCTTTCCTTATGTTTATGAACCCAAAAAAAAAAAAAAGGAGGAGGGGTTATTCTGAATTATAAGTTGATTTGGGAAGTCTCTTATTATATGAGATCCTAGCAGTACCCCAGCCCTTGCATATCATGCATAGGAAAAAAAGTCATTGTTCGCAAAACAAAACAAAATCAAAAAAAAAGAAGGGGGGAGAACAAAAGGTCCCACCTCCAATTAAACACAAAGCTTTTAACCTGATTATGTAGTTTAGTTTAAGGATTTTTTTAATAAATAATTAACAGTAAGATTAATCTTTAACTGCTTGCATATAATTAATTGTAAATAATTATAATAATATATTTAGGTATGCATAACAAGTGTATAAATATTTATATCTTAAAAATTTTTCCAACTAAGTTTATTGATGTTTGCATCAGTTATGTGTTTTAATCTTTGAAGATTAGTAGTATGAATGATGTGTTGACATAACTCTTTGACCTATGTAAATATTTGTTGCTTGTGAATGTATTGTTTGTTTATCTATAATGTGAAATAAGATAGTTCTATTAGAATCTCATAGGAACTAAAGTTAATGTGATTCCCTTCTCTGTGAAATATACAACTTTGCAAAAAATGAAGTTAATTTTCTTTGAATACTTTTTTGTATAAAAAGCAGATTCAGATTTTTTTAATATGAGAATTTCATCTCGTACTTTTAACAACTAGCACTAAAAAAATTTACTGTTGACTTTATTGTAAATGCCATTATGTATTTATTCTAAGGAATATTATCTAATGACAGCAAAGCTAAAGTGTATGAAGTACGTCTGTCCTAGATTGCAAAAGCTTATGCTGTTTGATGTAAATTTACTTTTATTTTTCATTTTTATAAAAAAATTTTTGAAACTTACTTAAATATGTATTTTTCTGTGTGGAAGTTATGGTAAAATCAAAAACTTTTAAAGTATAAAGCTATTTAAAATTTGTTAAAGGGTGTTTTGCCTTTTTTTATATATAATTGTAGGTATTGAAGAGAAAAATAAAAATTAACATTTTTAATTGCTAATGCATAATTGTGGATTTTCATGCATAATATGGATGGCTATGAAAACATCAGTTTGAGCAATATTTTACAAATTTTAGCTGTTGCATATATAAAACATATATTTCAAGTATTACAGTCTTTTCTTTATCAACACTAAACAGCATATTTGTAAGCTTTTTCTTGTGATGATTATTCCAGGTTGATAAATTTTGCAAGCTAAGTCCTTAATTATTTATCATTGTTGTGGCATTACTGAAGGTATGTTACAAGGTATAATATATTGTAATAAACGAGAGAAATTCCAAATCTATTAAGAATCCTGTATATGAAATGCAAACTTATTAGAAATGTGTTATAAGTTAAAGAATAATTGTTCTGAAATGGTAGTTGGTGTTGAATATATTGGTTCATACGTTTCACATAAAGGTTATCTATCACTTTATAATTTTCATATAAGTCTATGAAGTGTGAAGATCTGTCACTTGAGAGCTTTATTTCTTTTATTTTTTTAGGCTAGTAATGCACTCATATTTCTTTATTATTGCATGGAGGCAGTATATCCATTATTTATATACTACAGTAAAACAATTTTTATGCTAGTAATTGAAATAAAGTAAAACATTTAATCTATGTAGTAAAAATTTATATCAAATTTTAAGTGCCTGCATCTTTCACATTTATTTTGATTGTAAAGGGGGAAAAAATTCCCCATGCAATAGGAAAGGGGCAGTTTAAACCCTGACCCTATCCTCTATTTAAGAAATATAATTGTTTCTTGCTATTAATCATTTTGAATATATTCTTGAATTTACTTCCTTTATTCCATTTCAGATTGTAAATTAAATTAAAATATATATTGCATAAATTTATTAGAATTTGTAATAAACTAACTTTTTAGGTACAGTTTTAAAGTTTCTTTTGATTGTTATATATTTGCATGCATTTTATGCATGCATAAAGTTTATGACTTCTTTTTCTTCTGTTGCTTTCATATACTTTTATAGTAAGTTATATTTAAAACATACATTAACTCGCATTCTGTTTAGTTTTAAATTATTTGATTTGCCTGGGTGTTACTTATATTTCATTGTCATTTTTGTAGTTTCTAATAATGTATAAATTTTCAAGTATTATTTTGCTTTTTGACTCCATTTTTCTGCATAATGCATTTCTTTTCTTCTGTTTTTTTTAATTGACTATTAAATTAGTAAATTATTTTACATATAAATACACTAACTACAATAATGGAGTATGTATGAATTTATTAAATATATTTCTGAATATAAACATATTTTTGTTCATATAAGCATACACTATCTAGTATTTCTTTAATTTAATTAATTGTTTTTAATGGTTAAGTGAATAAAATGCAGGTTTATATGTTGTGTGAATATCTGTTTCCCGTTTTAATAATAATTTCAGAACTAATTAATCAGTTATAAACCTGGTGACATTATGATGTAATGTGCATTCATTTTATTTTATCATATCGAGAATGTTGAGAAATACATTTTTCTTGAATTTCTAATGCCCTGGGAAAATTAATAATACATATGTGTTGGCTGCTAATTAGAACAGCATCTGTTTTTATATCACTGCCGTATAGTTGTAGTTAATATTTAGATTGTTTTTTATACTAGCTATCTTCTGAAGCATAATAAATTGGTATA